TTCACCTCCAACCTAAGCAAAGAGAATGTGCACGATTTCTCGAAATGCTGCCACATTGTCTATCACAGCCTGATACTTACTTGTTTTTCAGGATCAGAGTATTAGCCGTCGTTCATTTTATTGACATATTTGGTTGTTTTGATGGATGTTTTATAATATTGGTTACGTGAGCTTCTCATCCTCTTATTGCCTATTGAGTTTGTTTTCATCGTATCACAGAATCGCCTGTTTCCCTTCTTCATGGCTTGATTATAACAACATCTTTCCCAAAGCTGGTAATAGTTGTCAAAATTGTATCTGATGAGTTTCTTTCATTCTGAGCTTTTTCGTTTTGCTGAATCACGTGATAACATTTCAGTCTCTTACACTGTTCAAACATCCCACGTATATGAAATAATCATTTCTGTGATTATGAGATGGCGTCAACGGTCTAGGGACTGTCGAAGCTATGCCCCTTTCCTTATGATACTTCAAAGCTATCCTAAATGGTTTGAATTATTTTATTGTTGAAAGTATTTAAGCAATTTAGTACTGTACGAGATTTGGTTATCAACTCCATGCTCAATCCTCCTCCTAAATGCGAGCTTAAAACCGACATTAGCCCTACTGGGACAACAGATTAAGTCTATATTCACAGAAAGATCCACTTGTTCTTAATTAGTAAAAATACTTATGGTCACGGATTTTCTCACAATGCTGGTCATTTGTGAGCGCATTAAAGATGTTTCGTCAAAAGGTAATGGAGATGAATCCAGTGCTACTGAGTGTAATACTAGGACAAAACGGTCGCCCGGAATTCCCTGCTGCCTAATTGTTTGCGATCGTTTATCGATCCTTTATTTCGTAAATCTTAATAATCTCCCTAACTACATAACGAAAAATCTCTGTCGTCTCATTGCACTATTCAAATCATGAATATATATATATATATATATATATATATATATATATATATATATATATATATTCGTTTGTGTAGTCATACACTTGAGCGATACACATAAAATTTTGAGAATGATATTAACAAATTTAATGATTATTGATTATTTTTGTCATGTTGCGGAGTAACAAGCCCTCCGTGGTGTGGATAACTTGTAAAGTACATCTTAACTCATACTCGTAAAAACACACTACACCAAATCGGTTACAATCAAATACGTCCTAAACCTCTAATTCACTCTCTTATCAATACGACCAACCATCCTTTCTTTCCTTTGACCCAAGCGCCAGTGATGTGATCATTTAGGTTCATGAAACGTCACTGTTAACCTGCTAAAACCCTGCTCCAAACTACATATTGGAGCTGTTAGCGTTTGAAGCTTGATTCAGATATGTTGAAAACCGTCCTCCTACAGGACCCTGCAGTCCTCTGCCGTCCATGTATGTTGTGTATCCGTAAAGCGCATTCAGGATATTAGTAGAACCAATAATATGACTTCACTTTCTCCAAATACAAGAGCGACTCTATTTACTCTTCGTGTACCTGGAGGCCCTGCTGCTGCTGTACATGACCCCTCTGATGTAGGAATCTCAGTTGGTACAAGAGCATAACAAGCGCCTTGCAATGGACGTAAATATATAGTTAATGGTGCACCGTCCGAGTAAACGAGCCAGTGAGGATTCGGAAAACGAGAGTCATTCACCATTGCCTATTTGTTAATTCTTCGTCAGGTCATGGAAAACAGATATACATATCAAGCCGATTTAGCTGTAATATTCCAATGACATAGTTTTACTTGATGCGGAATCGAATGAAATGATGAGTCATGTGATCGCCAGAACAAGTTGAATGTTGCGTATTAGTTGAGCTTGTCACCCGCTCCATTTATTTTCGGAGTCTCACCAGCACTGATTGCGTGGTGATCGAATAAATCTCGTCATGAATACAGTAGGCTCGAAAGAATTTCACGATTCGTGATTCGGTTTACCACACAAAATGCAAAGTGTTACTTCAGGAATGGATTGCGCTTGCAACTGAACAAGTTATATGGTGTGTAGTAGTTGAGCGTGTCAACCGCTTCATTTTTCTTCGGAGTCTCGAAAGCGATGAAGGCACGGTGACCGATTAAATCTCGTCACGGACACAGTAGCCTCGAACTAACTTCACGAATTTGTGTCACGTATGGCGTAGGTAAGATATTCGTTTGCAAAAAGAAGGACGATTCGATTGTACAGCATTTTACTCTGTTTAACTATATAGATGCGAAACGTAGCCAGTAAGAGTCGAAGATATTCGAAGGTTATTAGTGTTGATCATAAGTGTCTTTAAAGAATTGCTCGTGTGTCAATGGATAACTGAGCATGCCTTGCTGCCGTTAACAAACGACTACTTGTTGGAGCTGGCAAATTGCTGCCTTCTAGCTCGTTGAGACATTTGTTACGTGTGCTCAATAAGCGACTGCCTCGACGAGTGACGTTTTGTGATGTAGGAGTAGGCTGTAAGAAATCTAGTGTCGGCCAAACTGGAACATGGCACAAATACATGAATTCGAAGACATGAGATCTGAGCCATGTTGGTCAGTTTACATTGTCACCTGGTTTGGGTCAACGACACGATAGTAACCGATGGTTACAGACCTTGAACGACACGGCTCAAAACCGTTTGCAATGTAGCAAATATATCCACTTTTTGTGTTCCCTCAAATTGTAGTCTTCTGAATTTGTCATCACCTCTGTCTTTCTGTTTCAAATTAATTTCACTGAAATCATACTTTTCGAATAATTTTTTCGAACCCTAATATTTTCCATTGCCTCTGAAGCTTCCACTTTCTCTACCACTATGAGATTTGCGCTGATAATTGCGTGTCTGTTTTAATGTGGTACTGCAGTCTTACCTATGTACCTACGTACGCAATTCAACGTTGTTATTGGTTTACAGACTGAAAACTACTTTTCAGCTGTTTATTGTGAAAGTGAATGGACAACTGAATATTCTATACAGACGTCAAGAAAGATGTGTTTATTAACGGTTGTCTATAGAAGATACCGAAGATGCATCGGCCAGACAATATCAGCAACAACCAACTGTGAAAGGAGTCATCTATCCCCAGATAAGAGGAAATCGGGAGGTCTATAGAAAACCAGAGCATTACGGTGCATGCTCTTACTTCATATCCTCAAGTCCAGAGGTAAACCATAAGTAGACCAATGAACACATTGCTCCGGGAATCGGAGACAGACATGAAATGAATGAATGTCAGTTGGATAGAAATAGGCGGAAGTTGTCTAAGAATATGGAAAAATATCATGCATAATTCACTGAAGATTTCTGGTTTTGGTTGCTTATTGTGTATACATAAATCAGAAATTAAAAACTTGATTTTTTCTCATTTTTGTCAATTCATTTTTAGTTACATGAGAGTGGGTTATGGTCCATTATGCAGCCTTGGTAGAGATACTCGTTGCGTAAGTCAACAATATACTAAAGTATTCAGTATGATGATAATGTTACATTCTTCTGTGAGAAAATTACCAACCAACTTGTTTGAATGCATCACACAATTTTTTAATGAAACGATGAACCGATCAACCTTAGAACACGATTAGGGACATAGAATCATTAAGCGGTATTTCGTCTTAATTGAGACTCATAAGAAGTGAACATTCTTGACACACGCAATCAGGACTCGATCACAGAGCTTTTGGCCTTGTCTGTGGAAGCCTAATATCTAGAACACTCAGTTGCATTTCAATCATGTTGACGTACAACATTCATGGATTCACAATGGTGTGCAACCTGACCCAATATCTTTGATGTGTGACTAACTTCAGCAGACAGAGTTGAAATTTACTGGTTACAAATTCTCATGATTGATTCTCTACACTATCAACATTTTAATTATTTACATTTTGTACGCGAGTTTATTATTTACTGTCCACCTAATAGGAGATTGCAATGCAATAAAAGTGATAAATTATTCTTACTCAATGATTGTTAATATCAGCGGAAGTTCAAAGAACTTTTCTGTCGATAGTATGACGTTCACTGTCACACCAAAATACACTCAAGTAAGCATTGGTAGATTTACTCGAAAAATGTTATTCTTGTTTCTTTTCTTACTTATCTCACTTATTTATTTTCTTAAATCAAATCATTCTGATAATTTTTAAACTCACCGTCGACTATCACATTATCTTGCGTTGTACAATTGTATTCATAGTTCTCTTCATGTATTCTAATAACAGATTAGTAACAATCAAAAAATGAAAAATATAATCATAAGATAAGGATCAGTACTTAGACCATGAAATTATCAGTGATTTAACATGATTCGTTTAGTTAAAGAGGTCGGTTTCGAACTCGTGAATTGCTAAAGCTGAATAAACCTTCAGTGAGTCAGCTTTTAGTGATGCATGACAAGGGTTGACCGTATTTGCAAGAATTGAGTCAGTTATTGCGTTTTATGGACTATCAATTAGCAATATGTGATATTTGTTTCAAAATAGCACATGCTTTGTACGGTTATTAGAATTTGTCTAATCGCATCAATAAATCAACTGATAAATAAACCCACAAGGTAACTAAAAGTGACAAAGGAAAGAAAATAATTGTATTTATTTGAAACACCCACATTCTCCTGAATAACTGAATAATTTGACTTATCGTTATTGATATTTTTCAATAAATTTATGGAATAAATTTCTAATGAAAAAAAAGAATTCAATAAAATTATGTGATCGTTTTGTAAAATGCCTGAAAATTAACAAACCGCCAGTTGAAATCGACTGGCAAATATAAATGTATGGATTATATAAAAAACTTATCGAGCTGGTTTCCGACAGGATGTGATCGATAAACCAATGCCTAACCTTCCTCGTTTTTCTGGATTTTGGATCGGTAGTAACCCTAGTGATGCTCTAGCCGAACTTGGAATACCTGAATACTCAAATATTTGAGTAAATGTCAAACATCTTACTTAGATAATGAAAGTAGTTACAAAATATTTTGTCAAAATGGTGCTTTAAATTGTTATTATTATCATTATTATTTCCCACTTCAGATACTGGTTCAATCCAAATCGAATAATGTAGCAATGCAACCAGGTGAAAGGCGAATAATGTCTATTGATTATATATTCCCATTGAATTCGAACTATTCCAATTCTTCCATAAAAATTATTGGAACTGATGTCAATAGTAGCAATGAATCCATTATCAGTATCATCAATTTCAATATAGGTTTTGGTAGTAATTTAGCATCAATAAATAATGATTACTCATTTAATTATTCATCAATTTACCAAACTAACCGAATGGATCAATTGATCATTTACTTTAAAAATATTCGTAGTATTGGTAAGTTGAATTCGAAAGTATTCTACTCTCAATACATTGTATGACATAATAACTATACATTTGTTTGTGATGTCATCAGCTGTTTTGTGATAAATCTTACAAAACAATTTATTACTTGTTTTAGAAATGGTTTGGAAAAACCATCAATCAACGTTATGTCCACACAATTATCATTATATTTTCTCAGTGACTGCCCTGATAGGTATGTTGAAAACAAGCACTTGAACACTATTATACACTTATATTTTTCAATAGTTGTCTTACCTCAAGGACAGAAGTCGATGGAAAATGGTCGCTTATATCTGTGATTGATTGAAGTCATAACTTAACACGATGGAATCTTTGCACAGTGGTCTAGAGGTTAAGTATCCGTGTGCTAGAAAAAATACATTGAGTAGGTTCTTAGGTATGTGCTTCTGCTGAGTCTGATGAGACCAGAATGAAAAGGCTGATCAGTGCTTTCGGGTTCTCAACAGCGGTCTAATTTAGGTTGATTGGTGATTTCAGTATACTCGCTGGAGTTATGAAACATCTGAATGCGTTTATACGTGCGTTTTGAAAGATGGAATGATTTATTAAACTTTTCAATTTTTCCCAAATAATGAATTGTTCCGTTTTTGTATTCTAACAATCAAATAAACAAATGTTGTCTCGTCCATTAGTCGAATATGCTTCAAATCTAGCACGTAACATGTGATTCCTGATAAAAATTCATCAAAACACAACATCTGACTATCAGCCTTTAAGACTAAATAACCAGTCATTCATCTAGAACAAAATGACTGTGTAAACCATATCTCATTCTATGAAGAATATAAATGGACTTCACATGTTGGGGTGCTTATTGATTTGCTAAATGATAATCTACGGTGCAGATCACCTAGTTGAGTAACTTGGTTTTTTTTACTTTATTCATTGTCTGAATTAGTAATGTATATATGAACCGTATTTTGTGTAATTTTAACGTCCAGAGATCAAGTTTATCTTCAAACTACAGTCCAAATGATGAATGGTACAGGGTTGGAATGTAAGAGGCAATCGATAATTCTATATCTCAGTCCACAAATAAGATCAATCAGTGTGGTTCACCAAACAGGTACTTAAAATAGGTTAACATTGAAAACACCATTGCATCCAATAAGTAAATCAATTCAATACATAGTAAGTTTCAATGTATTTCAATCTAATGTTGATCAAAATGAAGTATCAAAACAAAGTATTTTTGAGTCAATTCATAATCTGTTTGTAATGTTCATGAATTCTACTTATCACTGAATTCACAATCATGTATACAATTCAGTGATTACAGTGTACAGGGCAATGCCAAATATGTCAAGTTCCTCTAAATTCTGACCGAAGTTTGTAAATCAATTTTTCACTTAGTCAAAGTGACTTGATTTCACAAATACGGTATTAAAATAATAGGTACGCCTTGCAAATGTGTGTTGAATAAGCGAAAACCTAGATCGACGATTTCTTGTTGACAACGTCCAATCACTGTATTTATTTACACAAGAAATAGGAATAGCTATTATCAAAATACAACTTTTTAAACTGTTTTGAATTTGTGCTGGTAAGTAATAAACTGGGTCCTACAGGATTTCATGTACCTAAGTGGTTGCGTCACAGAATTGAGTAGTACTGTTCAAGTAGCAATGTTAACACCCGAACAGTGTCTGTTTATCCAGAAAACCAATGTACGTCTACCCTCTTATATTGTGGATAATTCTAAGTATTGTTTTTGACAATTTATTTCAATGAAAGTATTTATGTGATACTCTCGTAATATGTTAACTCATTAACATGAGGTTGTATTATTTGAAATAATTCGGCTCCAAACGGTTTTATTTACGTTTGTACAAAAAGATTTGTATATAAGGGGTATTTCTACACATCCATATTGATCACTGTTCGTTTATCCAAACGTTTCTGAAATCGCACACTAATTCATCTAAATTTCTTTCAGGTAGTTCAATTGATTTTCTTTGAAGTAAATAGATAATATTATTCTTTATTGTTATTTTAGAATGGGCCTTTATATTTTGGTACAAATTATACAATCATATTTAGCTTAAAGTATAATTTATCAATTAGTAGATCGATTGTGAAATTTTCAGTCTTAATTGAACAAGGCAATGAAGTAGGAAATACTTGTTCGCAACCAAAATTTTTTTCAAATTTAGGTCTCGTATACATGCTGCACTTGATTATAATTGTAAGTTTTTGAAATACTTATTGATAATTAGAAATTATTATTAATAATTAAAATTACACTACCTCTCATGGAGCAGATGTAGGTGATCTGTAGATTTCTGCAGATCCTATGCTCAGAAAATCATCAAATTTTAGACTGTTTAATCATCGTTTTCTGTGAGGAAAAAATGAAGATTTCTGTAAGAATTATATGTGAAAAAGATCAATTGTTTATACAGTATTGTCAGTTCTCTGTATTTATTTATTTCAGTAAATGATTATCAGATGTTATTAAAATTATTAATTGATCAATGTCAGAACACTGTTAAAAACTGGAAGTTTAATTGCAACTTCTGAGATTTGTGAATGCATACTCGTTTTTAGTCCTACAATAGAACGATTTATGAAATTATTGTTCATCTATTTGTGACTTTTCTAGTCATTCATATGCATTTTAAGTTCATTTTATGAATGGATTCGAATAAAAACTATTGACTGAGTGTCAACCACATTTTGGCGATAATTATGATGATGATGATGATCAATAACTTGTGTGATTGTCCAGTGCTATTCATAGTCTTCCCACGTGCCTCCTGTGGTGTGTCGATTTATTGCGTGTTCTTATAGCTCTCTTTATAAATCATGAACATGAACTAGTATTGATGAATACTTTTATTCGGGACACACCACAAAGCAAAGCGGAGAAGCGAATTGGAGAAGGCTAAGAGCCAACTTAAAGAGATAGCACATGACTAAGAATATATGTTCAGATAAAAAATAAGACAGACATGACAAGCTAAATAGGCATGCACACACATGAATAAAAGCGACGAATGATTGACAAGGTCTAAAGCAAGCGATACAAATCATGTGAGTTCATGGGAATATTAAGAGATTAACATTAAAGCGAAAAGGATGAGTAAGCGCGTAGGCGTAAGCAATGCTCAGTCGTATAAGCTCATACAAAGCAGATAATAAAAAATACCAATGGTACATACGAGTTGTTGCTATACAAATGGCTTGGTTAAATAAATTAATCGAAAGGGCTTAACCAAGATAAATGTGAGCGAACTGGAATACAGTACGTGGAGGCACTACACTCAAATTCCTAGTAGAATGTGTTGTTGTGTCTACCGAATCGCCATTTGTCTTGAGGTATGCAATCCATGGCTTGCTTTGTAGGGTTGTCTATATAAATACAGATGGGAGTTTTAAGAAGTGTCTTTGCTTAGGTAGGGCTGAAAAGCGTTTGGCATGATATAATGATGAAATGTCATGAAGTGAGGGTTCGTAAACCTGGAAATTTCGTAAAAGGTAAGTTACTTATATTTAACTGCCAGGCAATGTTAGTTAAGTTGTCAGAATTTTCCACGGCTGCAATTTTATGGTAGAATCCTTCAGTCAGTCCTCTTCATTGATCTAAGCATTAGATTGGAAGTAAATCCAAAAAGTCACTGTTCCAATATGAACATTGAAAAAAACTGGTCTCATCAAAATGTAATATTATTCGATTGTCTTAACGGTTATTTGCTAATCGCTTTTCGTTGCCTGTTAAAACATATCATGTGTCACTTCTTTGCATGTGATCATCTTTCAACTTTATCACTTCAATATCATACACACTGTTTACAATTATTAATAACATTATCATTTAGCATATTTTTGACCTTTTATTCACTAATTTATATGTTTAGATCCCTGTAATTTACCACAGTATGCTGCGATGAAACATTCTGCTGTACAATTACCTAATCGTCAAACAAATACATTTCTAAATGTTGGTGATTATTTATTTTATTGTGGACAAGCCTTCAATATCAGAGGTTCATGGGTTTTAAAGAGACGTTGTTTTATGATTAATAAGCTACCTAATAGAACATGGTTTGGTAAGTTCTCATAAATGAAATATTTATTCATGCTTGTTCATTCATAATACCACGAAATGACAATATAATTTTCATAATATTAGGTAAATTTAAGGTAGTTAATGGCTATTTATTCTATAATTTTCATTGTACAGCGATGGAGATTGATGAGTATTATTGAAATCATGAATCAACACATGTTAGGCCACAATTAGAAACCTGGAAGCACTGGTTGGCCGTTTCACCTTAGCATAGGCCTCATCAGATCGAGTCCAACCGAGGATCTTAGATATTTTGGAAATCTAAGTACCATTTTCCCTCTGGCACTGTATTTAACATTCAGTAAGAAACAAAGCTACATCCTAGTTAATCATGCAGACTTGCAACTGACGGTATTGTGGCTGAACTCTAGTACAGATAATGCAAAAGATATGAATATGGAACGTTAATGAAATTACCAATTTATACTAATAAGAAATGTTGAAAATGTTCATTTTAAATTTTCATACAATTTTAACAGGAGCATCAGATATATTTTACAGTTTGTCCAAAGTTATTTTCACGAAAATAGCCAAAAATTTATTTCGCCTGATGTTTGGTCAATTTGCAGATATGGGACCGTTGGTTGAACAGCTCATAGCATATACAAATCCATCTGATTTGTTGTTTGATATGGGTACTGATGCTGGAGGTTTAGTGATGAGTGAGAATTTCGGGAAGACATGGCTTACAGTCATCCCCTACGTATGCCAGATATCCTCGAATACGTCAACAGAAATCATCACTGCAAATATTGTGCCATGGATTTCATGGACAAGACCAATCGACAGTACAGTGATGGCGTCATTTTGCAAGTTACGGGTTGCTGGACAATGGAATGGTAAATAGTAGGCAGTTATCCAGAAAAATTGCTTATATAGGATTTCTTACCATTTCACATGAGAGTGTGAATAATAGCCTCAAGAATTTAGTTATTATTGAATATTTATAGTCATAATTTCTGTTATATTACATGTGTATGTGTTGTGCACCAGTCAACCACAGTAATATAACATGTGGTTAACATGAATTTGGTTTCAAAGATAACTGATTTTCTGGAAGGTGAGTTATTAAGTTGTCAATATGTTGGTGTTGTCATTCACCATGTAGTTAGTACAACTGAAAATTGATTACCGAGACCGGAATCGTGAAAACTCATTCGATTTATTGAATTAAATTGTAAGCATAGCAATAATTGAGATTGTTATAACTTTTTTTACATTGGTTAATTCCGTGATCGTTGATGACAAAGTTGTAAATAAGCCCACAATGTTTACTAATTTAATTGAACTTAACCATAGGAATTCGTTTTCTCAGATAAAATCGATTATCATTGACATTATTACTGAAATGATATTAGTGAATATCCAAAACATCTGATATAGTCGATCATCATTTTTCACAAAAACCTGACCAGTTTTCTTTATGTAATAAATAAGCAATTTAGTGATTTGTACTTTAAAATTAACGGTTTTATCCTTGTATACGAGTCTTAATTTTTACCAGATTATTGTTGCCGTTCATGCTGTAGGTAGAACAACATTGAACATTATAACTGAGACGAGATTACTTATAAACCATTCGAATTATATAATGAAATTGTAGCCATATATGAATATATGACATTGTTCTGTGCTCGTGGATTCTGAGGTTGAACACAGAGTTTATTTATTCAATCATATTCTACCATAAGAATTTTTTTCCTCAGATAAGATCAGTTGTTACCCGCATTACTACAGATATGATAACTATCAGAAACATATAATACATACATAAAACTGATTAAGTGTTCATAAATGTATGTTGATCAAATAAGTAGTTTAGTGATTTATGCTGTATAAAAATATATTTTGAAATGATGAGTCGATCAATATTTAAATCATCCGTAGAAACGTGAATGCTGTTGATTATGGCTTTGTCCCAGTACACATCGCAGAAGCAGTATGAATCCGTGACCTTCAATCACTAGAATTAAACCCACAACCCTTGGTTTAGTGAGCGTACGCTTACCCTCTTGCTACTTGTTCCGTGTGGGCGTTTCCCTGGGTTTCAGAGAAAACTAGTTACATGTGGCGTTTAACTCTGTCTAGATGCGAAGCTGTGCTCATCGGAGACAGTGAGTGAGGTTGTGCAAGACCGTGGATTTCAGCGAAGTTAGACGCGAGCACCATTCTAGGCTGTTACGTTGATCAGGAGGTCAGGTTTTCTTGTCCGAAACCGAAGGTCCTGCGATCGATTCTTGCGAGCGCACGTAATGGACGTGTACTACTGAAAAATGTGATCTTTTTAAGCTACACATTTAGGATATTCTGGTCACACAAATTAGTAAATTAAAATCTACCTATTTTTTATAATTCTGAATTTACCCTGGTAATATTTAGGTCATTTTATGGCCAAGGATAAAGTGACACATTCCTACTCTTTCTTATTCTTTCTGTATTACGTTAATTTTCTCTCCGTCATTTGTTCTTACAGTGGAAACAAAATCCAAGATGTAGGTACATCCAATTGACGTGTCCTGCCTGGGGAGAAACGCTGATCCTAAAGGCCACAGATAACTATTGTACACTTTCAATAATAATACTTGTGAACTGACGGAAATATGTAGGCGACCAAGCAAGGTGCGCATTAAGCAACCAAACAAATCATTTGTAGACCTAAAAATCAATGAATTGATCCAAACGAACAACACAAATGAATGATGATTAGTTTAATTTTTACAATGATATATCAGGATCATCAATTCCTCAACCATTTTTATTTGTTCTTTTAACCGAATTACGAAAGAATAATTATTATTTGCAGACATAAATACTAAGCTACATTGTATGATAAATTGAGGATGAGTTCTATCCTTTAATATAGAACTGTCTAAGAAAGTGCAAGCATAATTCAAGAATTACTGATAGAGAGAGAGAGAGAGAGAATAACGTTGAGGTTAGTGAATTCACATTTAAGGGTCTGTCTCATCAGCCTCATTATTTGAGAGTATTTCGAAACTTCCAGTTATTACCACTGAAATAGGTACATTCACCTAAAGAAAAAAGATCTCGTTATTCATTATCCTACCAATATTATTACACGGTTTATAACACAGCAATCAATGAAAGCCTTTATTTTGATAAGTTGGTCTTCATCAAAAGTGTTCACCTACTTAATTACTTACACCTGTACCCACAATGGAGTGTTATTTTCCAACCTGCTCTGTCGTGGGCCTCTCTTTCTAATCCTATCCAACTTTTGTTCATTCTTCTCATAACTGTCCCGGCTTTTGGAGAAATGTGTTACTTGGCCTTCTTCTTTTCCTTTATCCTTAAAGGTTTCGAGGTAGAACTTGACTTATGACATGTTTGGGTGCTTTCCTCACTGTGCGTCCTACCTCCGTCCAGAACTTCTTCCTGAATTCCTGCTTTACTGAAATCTCGTTTGTTCTCTCAAACAATAGGTTGTCGCTAATCGTGCCTAGCTAACGGATCGCCAATATTTTGCGTAGACATCCTGGTTTACCAGACTATTCGTAAACAAAATACCAAAAATTAGAATATCATCTTTTCATCACAGAATGTTTTTTCATATCCTCAGAGATTGCTTGATTCACTCTATGCAATTTACATGTATACGCCAATACAAAATGTATATTCGTGCGTTCGCATCAAAAGTAACTTTATTTATCTAAACAGTCTATTCCTAACCAAAATGCGACAGCAGTTATACCAACAAACACATACACAATAACGGTTTGTGTGCCAAGAAAAATGCTCTTCCAAGAAGTGCAACTCACAGTCACCAAATCAGATCCAATCAACCTTTATAGCCAGAAAAATATACAAAATTTCTTCAGTCGGTTTGATTTTCTTTTTCCTATTCTTATGTCTGTATGAATATTGAATGTATGAAATAAATTCATTCAAAATATACTGTATAGCGGTAATGATGACTGTTGTTGCAAGAAAATAGGTCGCTTAAGTAACTTCTAAGGTTTATTTTGCAGGATTTCGCATTGTTTGTACAAATTGGAGTCAGATCGCGGGCAATTCAACACCTTTTCATAATAAGCATGGATGATAATCGTGCATAGATGAAGTTCGTATTTTATAATTATCTGTGCGAAATGTATTGTCACATATGTTTTTTGTATCATTAGAAATTATATAGAACGATAATTTATCTGGAGTACACTGTATTACTTGAAATATATGAGGCCTTAACCTTTATTCTGTAAAACTTTTGGTTTTCTACAGAATGGACAAATTTCGGATTGTAGAGTAGAATCAAGGCGGCAAATTCCATACTAAGTGACACCAGTCATCAGGATATGCCTAGATCTCTGCGTTGAAGTGCACATAGGGACTCAAATACCCAGCGCATTATACACTAAGCTTTTGAGTTTAAATAACCACTGGCCCATGGAAGTGGTATAAAATATATATTTTATCTTTAGAGAGATTCTTAATGGATATTTAATCGATATTCGTGATTACATAAAGAGGAATATTGGCTCCAGTTTACAATAAAATGGTTGTCAGTAGAGTGGTAGAATTTAAGGAGCAATAAAATAAAGGAACTATGAAACGACTGTTCTCGAACAGTAGACGGGTGCAGTTTTACTTTTTGGTTGCCGGTTACTGCGTGTTACAAGGCTCGGTAATTAGCTCGTCCAGACAATCGTTACAAAGTAGCGTCTGACGGTTAATAATCAGAAGGAGAACTTGTAGTGTTGAATACGTTTGTTTTGGACACACCAAAAAGCAAAGCCGAGAAGCAATGATCAAAACGAATGAAGTGACATGAATTGCAGAAGGCTTTTGAGCTGACTCCCAGGATTACAATGAGAACCAATGGGCGAAGGAAGCGATTTGAAGAAGGCTAGCGAGCCAACTCTCAAAGATAGAGCATGACGAAGAATATATAGCCAAACAAAAATAAGACACACATGTAAGCAAGTAGGCATGCAAAAATATGATTGAAGGCGACGAATGGTTGACAATGTCGAATGAGGATTGGGACATGTCATGTGAACTCGTACAAACCAGAAAATAATAAGGATGAATGGTACATATAAGTTGTGGCTACGCAAATGGCTCGGTTGAATAAATTAATCAGAAGGGCCAAATGAAGCTAGATGTAAGCGAACTGGAATCTATATGGAGTAACTACAACCTATCTCACGGATGAAAAACAACTCTAAGAAAATACGTTGACAATCGCAATATGACGTCTCTATTCTTCACACTCCTCAATAAAAATGCAAGTAGTTTGTAAAATGTCAATCGATTTCATTGTTTCCAATCTAACGGAACGTTTCGCAAAACTTTTATTACACTGAGTTGACTGTATAGTTCTAACCTATCCACACATTTAAAAGCAATGTTCCTTGTGCTACGAAGTAATAGTGGGATCACTTTTGCGCATCTACGTTTATACAGGCAATCAATTAACAATGTTTAATATCATTTGATTCAAGAAGTACTGTAATCTTATTAGATATTTTTCTGCATCTATACAATTAGCTTTTAACCTCTATTGTCAAACGTGGGACACATGAATATAGGTAAAGGAATAAGTAAGAAGAAAACAAGTTCAGATAGTTGTCTATTAGAACAGACATAATGTAGTTAGCAAAATCTTGTTACGATACTTCATTCACTAAAGAATAAATATTCAGTGATATTTCATATATTTTTGAATAATTTGCAAACTAATACGGATCAATATCTTGTTTCAATCAATCCTGATATTTGCGGGATTATGTGATATTGTCTGGATCATGTAAATTTCTTTTTCGATTTTGAAGCTTTTTACTCTGTTCTTATCCCGTCTTACTGTTCTATTTTAGACATACCATTATA